GCTCCTGTCTTGTCTAAATCGCTTTCTCTCTTCCCGCACGGATAACCTGCGACGCCCGCGCAATGAATATCCTAATCTACCCGTATTTTTCCACACAGTAGAAAAATGCAAATCTCTGATAAAAGTTAATCCTTTAATTAGTGTCACCCTAACAACACATAGCAACCGGTGTGCTTTAATATAGCTTAAATTTATTAACCTTATCCGAGTTTTAGTACTTTAAAAAACTAGCAATAAAATATAGAAATCGCTTGACAATTATATATTTCTTTGCGGGTTGAGAGCTAAAAAAATATTTTTTATTCAATTTTTTTTCAATTTTATTATTAGATATCCATCTTTGGCATATAGAAATACAATGGATTTACAAGTTAAAAATATTATACTAAAATACATATATAACCTATGAGAGTGTAAGACTTAGAAAGTTTAAAAGGTTTTATATACATATGTACAATGATCTAATTTCATGAGTTGGTTAATCTACACGCCCGTGGGATAAAAGACGTACTATGCCTGTGTGTTTTTGAGAGCTGTCTTGGAGTGCTGTTTCTGGTCCTTCTCAGTTCGTAAGTGTGATTCTTATTACCAGATAGGAAACGATTACATGGGTTGTTTGGGACTTCCACAATCCTTTTCAGCTCGTTGCATGTTGCCTTGTCCCTTCTTTCTTTTAGTGTAGGGAGGGTATCTTTCTCCAATCCTAGGATTCTCAAGCTTCTTTGTTGAACACGTTCAATTTCTACTTCAAGATATTTAGGGATTCCACCCCAGACTGGAGAGGCGTATTCAAGTATTGGCCGGATCTTCGACGTATATGTTAATAAACCAATCTCGGGTGGTAGGAAGGATTTCCTACACTCTCTGAGAAGGAATAATAGCTTATTTGCTCTTTTTGTTATTTTACAAACATGGGTATTCCACTTTAAATCATTTTGCACCCATACACCGAGAAGTTTGTAGGAGTTTACTCTTTCTATTTCAATTCCATCCGTTTGTATAGGTGGGGGTTCAGGAGAGGATTGGGAAAAACTGATCCACATGTCCTTAGTTTTTTTGGGATTCACCACCATTTTATTATCGTTGGCCCAATTCATCACTTGATTAGTCGATTCCTGCATATTTGAAAGGGCTCCGTTTGCAACGACCTCATCAAGAGTGCAGTCGTCTGCATACTTGTGCGTGTTTGTAAAGTTGTTTGTTAACGTGTTTTCCAAATCATTAATATGAATATTGAACAGTGTTGGGGAAATAACGGAGCCTTGCGGGACTCCAGCTGGACAGGGGGCGCTTGAGAATATATCATAACCTCTAATTTCCATGTGTTTATATAACTCTAAACAGCAACATATTCTTTCGTATATAGACCTCATATGGCAGACCGGGATTTAAATATTAGTTTAATTGTAGATACATAATAACTTTTACCGCATGCTATTTCTCAGCGTTTTGACGCTTGATAATATTTATATATTACTTAACAACAAAACATATAGCTGTATACCCCGAATATATAAGTTTTAGATATATAACACTAATGCTATTTCATATAGTATCAGTTTTTTACTCCTCTAGGAGCTATTCCTAATCCCTCCATAGTATCATAAACGTGTGGGACACTAAAAAATGCGTAGTCAGCAAGTTTCGCCCGATCGTGTTTAAGCTCGCCCGCGTGACGTCATTACTTGCCTGATCCTACCCGCGTGACGTCATTGCATGTAATTATGACGTATGCTAATGATGATGTGCCGCCCCACGCCGCCCCGCGCCGCCCCAAAAATAAGGCCCGAACGGCCCCTATATTACTACTTATATATATATATATATATATATATATATATATATATATATATATATATATATATATATATATATATATATATATATATATATATATATATATCCTGACTCGCGGATAGCATAGACTCACAAATCATAACGAACAAATTAAAGAAAGGGTCTAACAAAAGAGGTACAGAAGACTTTGAAAATGCCATTTCCGACAATTTAGAGACACAAAATTTTCAAAATTTTTCCGCTCTGTGCCAACCATGGTGGCGCTTCGTGGGAGTTGGGCTCTCTAAGTTTATCAAGCTGGCTCCCTAAGTGACGGCCAAGTTGTGGTATCTACATAAACATACTATGCAAGACTTGCATAGTATGTTTATGTAGATACCACAACTTGGCCGTTGCAAGTACTTAACTGAAGGTTCAGTCTATCTACAGCATAATGTAATGCTGTATATCCGAAAATCTGTTTCAGAAAATGCAGGGGAATTGCAGTCACAGGGGTAGATAAATACAAAAATTTTCTGGGGGAGAATACCCCCCCCCCCCCCCC